ACAGGATGCTCTCCACTGCACACCTGTAGAAGGAGGTGAGGACTGAGCTTCCCAGACCAGCTCACCTCAGCCGCCTGAGGAAGTAGAGTCTCTGATGAGCTTTCTTGATCAGGCTGGTAGTGTTGCTGCCCCAGCTGAGGTTGTTGTTCAGGTGCACACCCAAGTACTTGTAGCTGGAGACTACTTCCACCGCAGATCCTCCTACATTGGGTGGAGGGAGGGAGCTATGTGTGTTTGTTCCGTCTGAAATTCACGACCATCTCCTTCGTCTTCTTCATTAATGTGAAGGTTGTTCTTCCTGCACCAGCTCTCCAGGTGTTCCACCTCCTGCTGTTTGCTGGACTCATTGTTGATTGTGATGCATCCAACCACTGCTCACATATGACTTCACACCTGCCCATCCAGGCTGTCATATTGTAAAGTTTGAAGATACAACAGAGTGAACAAGAGGGGGCTCAACACACAGTCCTGAGGGGAGTCAGTGCCGAGGGTTATGGTGAAGGAGAAGTTGTGGATCATCACAGACTATGTCTGTTTGTTAAGAAGTCCAGGGCCCAGTTGCATATGGAGGGGATTAGCCCTAGTGGGAGTAGTTTGTCCATCAGGGTCTGGGGAATCAAGGTGGTGAAGGCAGATGTGAAGTCCACAAAGGGCATACGGACGTAGGAGTCCTTCTGCTCCAGTTGGGTGAGAGCAGTGTGGACCACAGAGGAGATCCCATCCTCTGTTGATTGATTCTTGCAGTATGCATACTGGTGAGGGTCCTTGCTGATGTTGATGGTAGTTTTGATGTGGGTCATGACCATTCTTTCGAAGCATTTAGCGACTATTGGGGTGAGAGCTCTGGCCAGTAGTCGTTCAGACCAATTGCTGCAGAGCTTTTTGGAACTGGGAGGATGGTGGCAGACTTCAGACAGGTGGGAAAAGTTGCCAGGGTGAGGAAGGAGTTAAAGATGTCAGCCAGCACTTCACAGAGCTGATCAGCACAGTCTCTCAGCACCTTCCCCGGGATGTTGTCTGGGCCAGTTGCTTTGTGAAGATTAATCCTCCTGAAGGTACTCTTTACTTCAGCTGAGGTCAAGCTGAAAAAAACTCCTCTTCTGGTGGTGGGGTGAGTCTGGTGCTGGGTGGTCTGTTCAGGTCTTCAAAGCATGCATAGAACTTGTTGAGGGCATCAGGCAGTGATGGTCTCTAGGTCATTGTGCACCCCTGCCTTTATAGTCTGTTATGCACTTAATGCCCCTCCACATGCTCTGTGAGTCTTGTGAAAAAAGTGTCCCTGGATCCTCTGTGCATATGTGGCTTTGGCCCTTTTAATACAAGTAGCCAGCTCTTTTCTTGTTCTCTTCAGCTCCTGTGAGTTGCCAGACCTGAAGCCAATGTCCCTGGTTTTTAGCAGGGTGCAGACATCTGCATTCAACCAGGGTTTCTGGTTCGGGTAGCACTTCACAGTCCTGAAGGTTGTGACATCATCGACACACTTGCTAATGTATCCAAGGACCACAGATGCGTATTCCTCCAGGTCTAGCTCCCCCTCATTTACAGTGGCTTCTCTGAAGACCTGCCAGTCTGTACATGCAAAACAGTCCTTTTGTATGGAGTTTTTATTCCTCACCCACCTCCTGATGTTTCTTTGTGTTGGTCTGGAACATCTCAGCGGGGGAAGGTTAACATATATATA